GAGCCCTTGGTATCAGCTCCTCATTTTTTCCCTCCCTCCCCACCCTCCTTGATAATGTATACATTTTTTTTCATGTCTTACACTGACCACTGTCTCCCTTCACCCACTTTCTGTTGTCTGTCCCCTTGGGAGGGGGTTATAGGTCCATCATTGTGGTCAGTTTCCCCTTTCTTCCCCCACCTTCCCTTTACCCTCCTAGTATTGCTACTCTCATTATTGGTCCTGAGATAGTTTTTCTTTCTTAATTTTGAAAGTATAACAATTTTATTGATATAACATTCATGTAGCATTCATTTCAATGGTTTGAATATTAAAAGCATTGTGCAGTCACCACTAAAATCAATTTTAGACACTTAATTAATTTTTAAAATCATTGTTATTTTCCTTAACCTTCCCTCTCATAATCCTAAGAGACTATTGATCTAGTTACTGTCTCTATAGATTTAGCCATCTTGGATGTCCTCTAAAGAAGAACATATAAAAATAACCCCCAACAACAATAACAAAATAAAACTCAGATAAACTTCAATCTAAAATATGAAAGTAAAAATAACTTATAAATTATCAAGGGTTCATGAGGTCAGGAGAGTGGGGGAGGTAGTGGAAAAAAAGGAGCTAATACCAAGGGCTCAAGTGGAAAGGAAATGTTTTGGAAATGACTACGGCAACAAATGTACAAACGTGCTTGATAGAGCTGATGTATGGATTGTTATAAGCTGTAAGAGCCCCCAATAAAATTATTTATTTAAAAAAAATAGTAAAAACTAGAACAAATTAAAATGGGTCTAAAGCGTAAACAAAGGATACGATTAACGTTAGAGTTTAACCTAACTGTATCTGGATTAATTCACTTTCGGATGCGCTCAGTCTGAGGACACAGGCGAGGCTTTCTACGCCCGTGAGCCTCTGCTCTCCAGGAAACCCACAGAGCCGCTGTGCGTTAGCATCGGCTCACTGGCAGTGAGCTTGGTTTTGGAGAGATAGAGCTCGGAGGTGGCTTGTGCAGTGTTCTTTTGTGATTGACGTAGTTCACGTAGCAGAGTGGCTTCGAGGTTCGTTTTTGTCGCCTGTGTCAGGACTTCATTGATCTCTTTGGCTGAGTAGCATCCTGTCGTACGGATGCACCACATATTGCTTACCAACGTATCTGTTGACGGACACTTGGGTCGTCTCCATCTTTGGGCTATTGTGAATGTCTCTGCGATGAGCACTTGTGTACAGGCCGCGGTTGGAGTCTCTGCTCTCAGTGATTTGGCCATACACCTAGGATTGTATCTTCTGCGTCAGGTGGTAGGACTCTGTTTCACCTTTTTGGGGAACCTCCACGCCGTTTTCCCCAGCGGCGACACCATTCTCCACTCCCACGAGCATTGTGTTTGGATTCCAGTTTCTCCACCTCCTCATCAGCACCTCCTCTGGACGTTTCCCTGAAAGCCCCCCCCTGTCACGAGTCTGGCATTATTCCTCAGCAGACCAAGTTTGGCCTGTGTGCAGTCTACCAACCCTGTCCCCGCATAGCCCCTCCTCTCCCAGCCCAACCCCTTGTCCCATCAGAAGCTGCTCAGACACCACGCCCTCCTTCCTCCTGATGCCTCTGGGTGGGAACAGGCCCTATGCCCCCTCCTGCTCAGCCTTACTCATTTAAAAACACCCGGCCCTGACCTCTTGCTGCGATCTGAGTGGACTTCCCCATCATCCCTTGAGTTGTTGCAGCCAGTAAATACGATCTCTGTTGATTTAAGCTGATAGTGATGTCCCCACAAGTAAATTGTGAATGATTTTTCCCCTGGCCTTTCTGTGACACGTGTTTCTTCTCAAAAAAGGATCCTTGGCCACATCCTAGTAGTTCCTTAGGGCAGGGAGCACGTCCTGACTGGCTCTGTTCCCGTCTTTCCCCAGGGGTGGACCTCATCGCCACCTTCTACGGCTGCCTGTACTGTGGCTGTGTGCCTGTGACCGTGCGGCCCCCGCACCCTCAGAACTTGACCACCACACTGCCTACTGTCAAGATGATCGTGGAGGTGCGGGGCACCCTGTGGGCCTCAGGGCACGCTTAGCAGAGC